CCGCCGTGAACATGAGGTAGACCAAGAAGACGGACCGCGCTTCAAATATAATAAACTCTAAATTTGTTATCCACACAGTAGCATGTACAAAGCTTGAAGGGGTTTTCCTGAAGGAGGTAATAATGAATTGCATGAGATATATCGATGCGCGGAATATAAGTGGTGTACAAGAAATAACAGTTGTCTGAATAATGGTTGTTTGAAATGTTCATGGTACAGTTAATTACACCTTGTAAAAATGCTGTTACTTCACCTAACGAAAAAAAAAAAGTTGTGTTTTTAGAAGGTCTGCTTTTAGACGGTTCCCATATATCAGGGGTCGGCAACCTTTTTCAGCGGCGGGCCGAGTCGTCATGGAAGCGACACAGAGGAAGCCAGAGGGCCAGTCGAGAGAGTGCGAGTGTTAGTGCTGGGTGGGGGGGGGGGGGGGGGGGGGAGAGGGGGGTACAGTGACTAACTTTCAAGAACATTTTTGTTAAGTTATCTTTTTGCTTGCGTGTCGTTCCATGACAGTGCACAGTAGTATTGTTAAATATTGTACGTTCTAGTTTTAACGGCATACCTTGTATAATGTTGTGCTCCTCCTCCTTGACTAATTTCCGGCAAGTAAATCTTCATAGTAAGTAAAATAATCAAAAAATTACTCATGATGCCAACTAAAATTAATAAAGAAGGTTGAATAACCTTAATATAATTTGAAAATCCAAACTTACAGCAGTTATTTTTTGGATTGTGATGGTAATGTACTCTTTAAGAGAATCTATAGGAAAGCCAGGCGTAATTTCTGAAGCCATTCTTATACCCGCGAGCGTTGTACAAAAACATTTAAGAAATATGATGTTACACATAAACTCCCCCTGCAGTGGATTGCAGTCAAGGCTGCCAAATGCACCGCCCAATCACTAACCAGTTAGACGTCACCTGGCATGTTGAATGACGTGCGAATCATACCGCCAATGACATGGGAACCTCGGAGCAATGTTCCACGTGGTCTCTAATTGGCTCGGCATTGGTTTTTATGTCCTGCAGCTATGAGTATTGTTCAATGTAGAGTGAGATAAATTATAGGCTAGTATTGCACAGATTAAGAATAGTGTTTTAATTTATATTAAAGGAGCACCACTTTGCTGAATGCCATGCCAGTCACATTTTACCCAATAGACGAAATGGAAATGGCGACGCCCTAATTATTTTTGCTCACCGATTTTGGGTTGCAGAATGTGTCACATCCGCTAAACAACCTCGTCCCTCTAAAGCCAGTGGTGAATTCAACTCGCACTAAAAGGGTTAACGTTGAAGGTAATGATCGCCATATCTACGTAATAAAGTGATGTGCTGCAGGCAACGAGCATAGAACAAACCATTGAAAGTGCAATTTTTACTCAACATGCATTCATTTTATTGCAGCTCAGTGAATGCACCTGTAGGATAAATGTTATCGATTACAAAAAATGTAAAACGTTCGTTTTTTTATGTATCGAATATGCCCTGTGAAACCCAAATGGCAGCTATTCATTCCTGGATGCATAAAATGCCCTATGGTTTTACTAAATATTAGTTTGTTGGGTTACTTTCTTCTGATAGTTTTTTAATGTATTGTTTGCGTCGGGATCTTATAGTTATAAAGAACTGGAGTTTAGTTTTCTGGTCTGTCTTTAAAGCTCACCTGATATTTATGTCGTCTTCTCTGTCGTGGCTTACATTTGCCCTTCAAGTTTGCACACCCAAAGAACCATATTTTATGACAAGTATATTTGAATATATTTTAATTCTTTCAAGATACTGCAGAAGACATGAATAGTGACATGCATTTCAGTACACCATGTCGATTCCTCGGTTTTCGTGATCCGCTTTAATCGGCTTAGTAAATTAACTTGTGGAAATTTAAGGCTTCTGATAATTAACGCCATTTTAATGCAAACCCAGACCTACCGGATATGCAGATTTAGTGTTAAGGCTTAGGTACAGACTTTTCAAACGTTTATTTTTTCACATCGCAAGCAATGCCCAGTATTTTTAATTTAAGTTAGTCGCCGTTTTATATAAGAAAATACCATTCTACTGCTGTATAAAATGTAGAAGGACATCGCTGAGCTCACGTTGTTTTGAGATTTTTCTGCAGCTGGAGTAACAGTAGACTACGACAAAAAGACACATAAAAGCATACGAGTTAGGATGTGAAGGAAGAATATAATAAAACCTTGGAGTTATTTGCATAACTGTGCTGATTAGAACTCTCGCAAAAAAGTGGAGCCGCTAGTGATCGAGTGACTGGCACAGATGGTGCGGGTTGAAAAAAATTTGGTGATAGCTTGCGCTTATTGTTCTATTTTTTTTTTCTTATATTCCTGAAACTTTGGAACATGTATGTCGCACATGTTTGTCGCCTTGCGTGTTTTTCATTCTGCGAAGAAATGAAGACCTTAAAAAATAACAGAACAAGACGTCTGGACTCTACAAACGTGTCGTTGCTTTTTATTCATTTTTGTCATTTTTTAATTATATGCATTATGTTGTCGTATACTACTTTTAAATCTACATATATCGGTATAGCTTTGTAAGGTCGCAAGGAAATGTCATTTCATTGCCCTGGGCGTTGGTGTTTTCAGATATTCAGGTTGTTTTCATGATTTTCACGAGAATTATTTTCATAATATACCTTTCCGCGTTAATCACAGCTGCCTAGGGCATGCATCTCTTAGAATATCTGGCTGTGAAAAAAAATCCCATTTGCGCGGTAGCCTTAATATTGAAGTCTTCATATTCCATCAGTTCCGAATCACTCGTATCCGTATAGCACTATAAAGGGCACATTCAGGTAAGAAATATTTAGAAGATCTGTCAGGATATTTTAAGCATTTATCAAGTTCTGTTTTGATCGTTTAAAAAAAGAAAGACGCTTACAACTCCCTGTAATTCCAAATTAGAGCGCAGCTCTCGAGGAGGAGGATGGGAGGGTACGGACGGAAGGGTGCGGGGGGAACGTGCGTGGCCACGAGTGAGACCCGTGCGTTGCATCATGGGATGTTTCCCATAATGCAACGCGCGGGACCCTCGTGACGTCACGTGTGACGTCATTATGGGACGCTTCCATAATGTACCACGCGGTTACGCCGACGGCGACGCCGACAGCAACGACGCTAGTCGGAAACGGGCACCGAAGAGCTGCGCTCTAAAATGTATGAAGGGCCTCCTAACGTGAAAACATCGGCAACGTTGTTCTATACCTATTTGTTGACTGTCATGGTAATAGTTTGAATAACTACTCTTCATTCCTTATCACAGAACTCATATGCATGCAGGCGTGAGGGCAATCCAACCACCCTGTTGATCGTTTGCAAGGGAAACATTACCGTATGAATCTTTAATTGCAGTAAACTCAACTGATACCACGCCTACATGTCAAGGACAATTGATCTGAGTAACACTGCGAAGTCAAATCTTGTACGCATATAGTAGGCAAGTGCCGAATTATATTGTCAAAATGGTGGTATAACTATTATCGTATTATATGACGTGGGGATTCGCTTGTTATTTATCAATATCTACACTATAGCAATTTTTTTTGTTCTTGGATTAAGTGGAATGAATCACTCCACAAGAAGGGAAAAAGAGTATTTCTATCTTTAATATTCAATAAAAATATGAATTTTGCATTTTAGTTTTCTCTTCAGCAAAATCGTACGAGATGAGCACACACGAAAAGAATGCGGTGCCCAAGAAGTCGCGACACTCCTGCACACGACACATGGTGAACGCGTAATTCGAAGAAAAGGTGCAATAATAAACGGAAAAACACTAAGAGCACGAAGGTGATTTACTTGATTGACACTCAAAAGTTATACATCTATTACAAAAGTCAGCGCCAAGGAAAGTGAGGGACAGGGGAATGCGTGGGCTGATTTCCCTGATCTAAAGAGGGCTTGCAACTTAAACATCACGTGCTTAATGCTATTTTTTCCTGCAACCGCATAGGTAGTTCTCGCGTGACAGTTGCCATGGTGAAATATGAGCTATCGTTAAATACCGCGGTGACGCCAACTTCGGTCAAGCGCTCACTGGTAACATGTTCCAAGCTTGGGAATTTCGTAAATTATACGTTAATCACTCGATTTGAAATAACAAGCTCCCATGTCTAAACACAAAAAAGGTACACATTTACACGCCTTTTAACATAAAACACACATCAAGACTTCAGTTCCACCTGCTGTACTCTGACGTTGTACTGACGGTACCAACTTTCACGAGTGGCTTAATAGTTTAGTTGAACAACTTATTAAAATACCTAATGTACCTTCGTGTGACTGACTGCAACAAAAAAATAAGTAATCTGGGTTAGCTTGGCCCTACTGCAAAAACTCTGTGCTTTTTTCTCTGTAGACTTTGATACGTACTTTAGCTATTTAATATGTTATAGAGCACCACCATCAAGCCTCTCGTAGAGTCTAGGGCCGTCAGTTCGACTCCTGTGCGCTGTACATCAAAGTGAAGTTTTGGGGTGTATTATCTGTGACTAATGATAAAATGGCCACACCCATTTGTTTTAGAGTGGAGGTTAACTAAGTTTTCAGTGAAAGAGGGGTTAGCGCCACGGTATTACGGTAGTTACTACTTAGGTTGTGCGACAGAAACTAAAGGAAATAGTTAAAGCAGAACGACAACAAAAAGTATAGCAAAAAGAAAAAGGAAAAATGTAGAACTATTCGCACGAACCCCTTTAATTTTAGCGCCTTCCAGTCGGCAAATAAAATGATTTGCTATTTGGCCGCAACTCATATACGTCAGAATTAAACATGGTGGCCACCACGAAAAAAGCGGCTCCATATACTACACATTTTTAAGCACACTAATGCGTGGGACGGGAATATTCCACTAGGTATAAAAATATATCCGAGTAATATATATATATATATATATCAATATTCTATTTTAGCAACTGCAGCTAAAAAAAACTTTCTAGGTTATTCGCAACGGAAAATAATTTTTTTTATGCTAAGAAAAAGTACTAAGATCAACTCGTAGGATGATCAAACAGAATACGCGCACAGCCAGTCTATATTAATCTAATTTAATGATAATCTGAAGTACTTTTATTGTTATTCTGGAATCGTCAAAAAATGCGGACTTGTCGAAGCGCTCTTGTTGCGTTCTTGTTTTGGCCATCCAGGCGTGGCCCAAAATTAGTGCCTTTAAATGTGGGCGTCTTCTCTTCTCCTTGAGTTAGAGAATCTGTGGTAATATTAATCTTGACAACTCTTCCAGGTTTTTTGATGCACTCCACTTTTCCTGAAAAAAACAACAAAAAAACTTAAGGTACAAAATAATTTTTCTATCTGAATCGTAAAAACAAATCGATTTGGAGCTCCCGTTCGGTTACGTTTATATTGAACCAAAAGCATTTCATAACATTTCATGGCATGTAACATTGCATCACAAGGTTCAGGCATCATATGCGTAATGCCACACGCAGCTAACACTAATTCTTAAAGCTAGTTCACACAGCAGCGTTGTCTAACATTATGTTACGTTACGAAAGCTACTAGTCACCGGGACATATTTGCTTCATTCGACATTCGAGAAACAAATCTTTCGGTGACATTTATGTCAGGTAAGAAAATGGTGCTCCGTGAACAGGCCTTCAAATGTCGTCTAAGCTTAAGCTTGAATGTCCTGTTTACGCTCTGTTAGGCTCAGTGGAATTCTTAGCTCAGATTTGACCCAGGTAGCTATTGACTGAATTGTTTCTGGGAGATTCCGAAAAAGCCAGGAAAGAGTTTTTTTTTTTTTTTTTTTATCAGAACGAATATTAAAATGTGCCATGGCGCTTTTAAGCAGGAAAGTTTAGCAATGTCGATGTAGCATTTAAAATGATTGCGCTGTTTTATAAACGTAAACGTCAATGGGATAACTGACAGCTTCAGAAACGGAGGACGCGGGTTATGATGGTTACACTTCTCGCTTCGTGGTTAGTTGTTCGGCACCAATACCGCCATCTGATATATTGAAGGGCGATAATAAGGATCCTTGTGCTCGCCCCGATCTGCGTCTCTTCAGCGGTTAGGGACCATGCAGAAGGGTAAGAGCTTGGATGAGTTGATGATACATTGTGGAGAATTGAAAGCGCTGAAAGACGAAGATTTAGTAGAAGAAGGACGTGACCACAGAGCGCTGTCGAGACTCGCTGAACTTCGACCGAGCCACCTACTCGAATATCTATTCTATACCAAGTAGCACCGTACCGTAATCCGTACCGGAGTAGTCTTACTATACACTATAAGAGTATGCATCCTAAGAAATCTGGTGCGTCACATGTTCTGCGAAGCACTTGGGAGGACCAGTTGCATGCGATCTACTTATTGATCTTGGCGGTGCTCAGGCTGCAAGTAGAAAGTTTCAATATTGTCACGTGTGGTGACTAATAAACAAGAAATAAACAGGAATAAATAAACGTTTAATGTGGCGAACTTGTGCCAAAAATAAAAGGGTACAAAAGATAACAACAGAGCGTCGCGGGCGTCGAAGGCGGCGAAGCAGCACGATCAAACGCTGAGGCGAGACTGACTCGACAAAGTCGCTGGCGGCCTCTTATCTAGAGTGAGCGCTATCTCGAAGTTTCGGCGGAGAAGGTTCGAGCGTAGCGCGCTCGGGGCGAGAATGAACATGCACATTCTGGAAAAACAAGAGCAGGGATAAACGATAGAAGTTATGTCAGTAGTAAGAACAAACGAGAACCTTCTACAAGTCCGTGACCTTGCGCGCGGCATTATCCCCCCCCTTTAAAAGCGCATCGTCCCGATGCAGCACAAAACGAAAAACAAATCCACAACTAAAGGACAGTAGAATTGCTAGCCATAGTTCACAGTTCACCAGTTCACTGTCCACCGTTCACAGTTCACAGTTCACACGTCGACGACGGTGGAAAGTGCTATCGTTCGTAATACGGCTTCAGCCGGACGACGTGCACCACCTCGGGTCGTGGCTGGCGTCTTGCAGATGGACGCGTTCCGTCGGGAAGGACTTCGTAGTTCAGATCGCCGAGCCGTCGGATGATCTTGTAGGGTCCGAAATAGCGTTTCAGAAGCTTCTCGCTGAGACCGCGGCGACGGATGGGCGTCCACACCCACACCCTGTCTCCGGGCTGGAAGTGAACGTCCCTGCGACGAAGGTTGTAGCGGCCCGCGTCGACGCGTTGCTGGTCTTGAATCATGAGTCGGGCGAGCTGGCGGACTTCTTCGGCGCGTTGAGCAACCACCTGGGCGTCGTCGCTCTGATTGTCAGATGGCTCATGGGGCAGCATTGCGTCCAGCATGGTCGTCACCTTCCGACCATGTACCAGCTGGAAAGGGGTGAATCCAGTGGTCTCCTGAACCGCCGTATTGTAGGCGAACGTGACGTAGGGCAGCACCTCGTCCCACGTCTTGTGCTCAACGTCGACGTACATAGAGATCATGTCGGCGATTGTCTTGTTCAGTCTTTCCGTCAGCCCGTTGGTCTGCGGGTGGTACGCAGTTGTACGACGGTGGCTGGTGTGACTGAGTCGGAGGATTTCTTGGGTCAGCTGCGCCATGAACGATGATCCGCGATCTGTAATTAAAACTTCTGGAGCGCCGTGCCGGAGGACGATGGACTCGATGAAAAACTTGGCGACTTCAACAGCCGTGCCTGCTGGAAGGGCTTTCGTCTCGGCGTACCGTGTGAGATAATCGGTGGCGACGATAATCCAGCGGTTTCCCGACGTTGACGGCGGGAAAGGGCCCAGTAAATCCATTCCGATCTGCTGGAACGGCATAGACGGGGGAGAAATCGGGTGCAGAAGTCCTGACGGCTTCGTCGGCGGTTTCTTGCGTCGCTGACACTCATGGCATGATCGAATGTATAGGTGAACGGTCTTCGGTAGCCTCGGCCAGTAGTACTTTTCACGAATCCGGGCGAGCGTCCTGCTGTATCCAAGGTGTCCAGCCGTCGGGTCGTCATGGCATGCTTGAAAGATTTCCTCTCGCAGGCTGGCCGGAACAACCAGCAGCCAGGCAGTGTTGCTCGTTCCGAAGTTCTTCTTGAAGAGCACGCCTCGCCGCAGAACGAAGCTTGGCAGGTCTCGGGCCAAGACTCGCGGAACTGAACTTCCTTGACCTTCGAGGTGGCCCATCACGGCGCGAAGTTCGGGGTCGTCTCGTTGAAGTGCTCCCGCGTCAGTATCCGTAAGTGCTCCGAAAAAACGGGCGTCATCGTCGTCGTCGGTGCTGTCGGGTGGAGATTCAATTGGGGCCCTAGACAAACAATCGGCGTCATTATGCTTGCGGCCAGACTTATGCGCAATGGTTACCTCAAATTCTTGCAGTCGAAGGCTCCAGCGAGCGAGGCGTCCTGACGGGTCCTTAAGCATTCTGATGTTAGCCTGAGACTGAGGCAGGAAAAAAGAGGAAGTTTCAAAGTAGAAGAAAAAGGAACAGTCGAGCGGCATTGGAGCGGCAAGAAGAGGATCCTCAAGGCGTACAGAGAAGCCTCAAGTCACCGGATCAAAGAAATACGCAGCGCTTCCGAAAGACTTTGGGAGCTCCTGGTGGGAGGTGATTTCAAGCGGCACAGGGACTACATCATTTGGAACAGCATCAGGAGGACAGTTTAATTTTTTTAGAGACGTATCCTCGACTGTTCCTTTTTCTTCTACTTTGAAACTTCCTCTTTTTCCTGCCTCAGTCTCAGGCTAACATCAGAATGGTTAATTTCCACCAGCTCGCCTGCGCACTCACTACAATATCATGGGTCCTTAAGGTTGGCGAGCCAACAGAGAGCGTGGTGGTCCGTGACAACGCGGAACGGGATCCCGTACAGGTACGGACGGAACTTGGTTAACGCCCAGACGACAGCGAGACATTCCTTGTCGGTTGTTGAGTAATTTTTCTCTGCCTTGGACAGTGCCCGGCTTGCGTAAGCGATCACCCTCTCTGCTCCGTCTTGTCTTTGGACGAGTACCGCGCCTAGTCCGGCGTTGCTGGCGTCCGTGTGAACTTCCGTTTCCGCTGATGGATCGAAGTGTCCGAGAATGGGGGGAGACTGGAGTCTTTCCTTCAGTTCGTTGAACGCCTGTTCTTGCTCCTCCCCCCACTGGAAGTTCACGTCGTCCTTCGTCAGATGTGTGAGCGGTGCAGAAATCTTAGCGAAATCGCGAACGAAACGCCTGTAGTATGCGCACAGCCCAGGAAATCTTCGCACGGCCTTCTTGTCTGATGGCTTCGGAAATTCGGCGACAGCGGATGTCTTTGAAGGGTCAGGACTTACACCTTGAGCACTCACGACATGGCCCAGGAATTTGAGCTCGCCGTATGCGAACCGACATTTTGACGGCTTCAGTGTCAGTCCGGCATTCTGGATAGCCTGTAGCACGGCTCGCAGGCATCTCAGGTGCTCGTCGAAGTTGGTGGCGAATAACACGACGTCGTCGAGATAGACGAGACAACTTTGCCACTTCAAGCCGGAAAGAACGGTGTCCATTACGCGCTGGAACGTCGCCGGTGCTGTGCATAGTCCGAACGGCATAACTTTAAATTCGTACAGCCCGTCCGGCGTGACGAAGGCGGTCTTTTCACGATCTTGTTCGTCCACTTCGGTCTGCCAGTACCCACTCTTCAGGTCCATCGACGAAAAGTATCGGGCGTGGCGCAGCCGGTCCAGGGTGTCGTCGATGCGTGGCAGCGGGTAGACGTCCTTTTTTGTTACGGCGTTAAGTCGGCGATAGTCCACGCAGAACCGAAGGGTCCCGTCTTTCTTTTTCACCAGGACTACCGGTGAAGCCCACGGACTCCTTGAGGGCTGAACAATGTCGTCATCGAGCATTTCTTGGACCTGCTTCTGGATGACTTCTCTCTCTTTGACAGAGACACGGTACGGCGACCGATGAACAGGAAGCGCGTTGTCTTCAGTGACAATTCGGTGTTTCGCAACGGTCGTTTGGCGCACCTTTGACGACGTGGAGAAGCACTCGTTGAACTCGACGAGTAGGTTACTGAGTTGTCGTCGTTGTGGGGTAGGCAGGGTTGGATCGATGTCAACCTGCGAAGGCGGCGTTGTCTTGGGTGGCCACGAGGAGAGGTCTTCTGATATTCCGGCGATTGCGGCTGAGTCCGGGAGTTCCTCCGCGTGACCCACGGCGGTGCCTCTTGTAAGGTGCTGGGCCTCCTGTCGGAAGTTCGTTACGAGTGCGACAGTCTGTCCGTCTTGGAGCTCCGTGACGCCTCTTGCGATGCCGATCCCTCTTCCTAGAAGCAACTGGAGGCTTCCTTCGAGCA